TGCAGCGTGAAGGCCTGGGTACGGTCCACACCGCGACGGCGTCGCCTTTCTTTATGCCTCGCTGAGCTGCCCATACACCCGAAGCAAAAACATGCGAACCCCGCAACACAGCCTGCCCGCAACGCGGCGCCACAAGCACCATCGGGGGGCCCCCAGGGGCTGAGGGGGGGGCCCCAGGGGCTGAGGGGGGGGCCCCAGGGACAGAGGGGGGCCCCCCAGGGAGAGAGGGGGCCTTCCCTTCTGCTGCTGGTAGAAGCTGATGCTCAGGGGAGGAGGCGGTTGATGCAGCAGATGAAGCAGCAACAGCAACAGGAGCAGCAGCAGCAGCAGCAGCAGCAGGAAGAACAGCAGGAACAGCAGCAGCAGCAGCAGCAGCAGGAAGAGCAGCAGGAGCAGCAGCAGCAGGAGCAGCAGGAGCAGCAGCAGCAGCAGAGTAAGGGGCCGTATGCCAGGGTAAGATGAGGATATCTGGGTGGTTGGGGTGTATGAAGCCCTTGAGGTTTGTTGCTGCTTCTGCTGCTGCTAGTGCTGCTGCGGTGTCTGTACACCTCAGCGTGTTTACTCGCAATGTTATTATAGGAGGAGGCCGCAGCAGGCAATCGATAAAACAAGAAAAAGAAGAAACTGAAGAAAAAGAAGAAGAAGAGAGAGAAAGAGAAGAAGAAGGGGGAGGAGAAGAAGGGGGAGAAGAAGAGAGAGAAGAAGAAGAAGAAGGGGGAGGAGGAGGAGGAGAAGAAGAAGAAGATGAAAATACAGAAGAAGGGGGAGGAGGAGAAGAAGAAGAGGAGGAAGAAGAAGAAGAAGGGGGAGGAGGAGGAGGAGAAGAAGAAGAAGAAGAGAGAGAAGAAGAAGAAGAGACAGAAGAAGAAGAGGAGGAGGAAGAAGAAGATGAAGACGAGGAAGAAGAAGAAGGGGGAGGAGGAGACGAAGAAGAAGAAGAAGAAGAAGAAGAGACAGAAGAAGAAGAAGAAGAAGAAAGAGAAAAAGAAGAAGAAGAAGAAGAAGAAGAGAGAGAAGAAGAAGATAAAGAAGATGAAGAAGAAGATGAAGCAGATAAAGAAGAAGAAGAAGAAGAAGAAGAATACGTATAGGGACAGTCTCTCTCGAGCTGCCTATACACCTCAGGAGCCAACAAATCCCGCAAATGAAAATTCAATTTATATCCAGCAGCAGAAGATATTAGAATATGCAACAACAAAGATAAACACCCATGCATGCATGCGCTGGATGTCTGCTGCTGGGGCTCTGCTGCTGCTGTTGTTGCTGTTGCTGCTGCTGCTGCTGCTGCTGCTGCTGCTGCTGCTGCTCCTTCCTCTTTTCTTCTTTCTTTGTTTGGGTGTTTATTCTTCTCTCTTCTCTTCTTCTCTTCTTTGTTATTAATGCCAATTAAAAAAAAAGAAAATAAAAATAAAATAATATAAATAACAAATATAAAAACAACAAAAAAACCCCAACAACAACAAGCACAAACAAAAAAAAAAAACAAACGACACAGACAAACTCCTATGAAAAGGGTTTAGGGTTTAGGGTTTAGGGTTTAGGGTTTAGGGTTTAGGGTTTAGGGTTTAGCTGTTCTTTCAGCTTAAGCAATACTTACTAACACCAACCCACCGAGTATCTGAATGGGGCCCCCCTGGGGGCCCCCATGGGGGGCCCCCTTTGGGGGGCCCCCAGGAGGGGGCCCCCCCGAGGGTACTGAGGAGAGTGTGTCGGCGTAGGGGCCCCCTGGTGTCTGTCTCATTTGTTGTAGTTTTTCTTTTTTTTTTTTTTTAATATATTAATAATTATTTTTGTTTTATTTTTATATCTGTATTCCCTCGGGGGCCCCAGCGGTTCCGCTGCATATACACCGCAGCCGCATTGCTGAACCCAGGGGGCCCCCTGGGGGCCCCCTCGTCGCCTTGCTGTACCCTGTTTGAACCGACATGAATCCATTCCCTTCACCAGGGGCCCCCGGGGCCCCCTCTGAACCCACTTCTTACAAAGCTGAGGGGGCCCCCCTCCCCTTACCCCAGGGGGGCCCCCCTATCAGTACCCACCTGCATCATGTCTATAACCCAGGGGCCCCCGAATCCTCTTCTCCAGCCCCCAGTACCCTTTCTCTAAACCCCTCTGGGGCCCCCGCTTACACACCCTCCCCCTCAATCGCCCCGCGTCCTCGCTTGTTACCCGGGGGCCCCCTGAGTACCCTCGTGTATGGGGTATGGGTATGATGGGTGGTGGTGAGTTTGAGGATTTGTT